TCATCATCATCATCATCATCATCATCATCATCATCATCATCATCATCAGAATTTATACAGCAATTTAAGGTCTTCAAAGATCTGTACATTTGCTCCTCAACAACCTTGGGAAGTAGATGCTATTATTATTTCCATTTTACAGATGAGAAAACTGAGGCTGAGAGAGATTAAGTGCCCAGGGTCCCCACAGTTGCTAAGAGTCTGAGGCAAAATTTGAACTCAGTACTTCCTGACTCCAATTCACCGCTTAGCTGCCTCAAAGAGTTATACTCCCTGGCAGATATGCTTTCTGTTGCCAAGTCTTGTTTGTAACTTTACAACAGCTCTAGTACATGTCCTCTTCTCTTAACTCTCACAGCTGCCCCCCTATTCAGGCCTTCATCACCTCACTCCTGAACTACTGCAAAAGCCTTCTGGTTCAAGTCTCTCTCCATTCCAATTCATTCTGCACTCAGCCAAAAGTGCTGCTCTGATCATGTGACACCCCTCCCCGGGGCAGCCCCTCCCCACCCAATTCAATGACTTCCAATGACTCCCTCTTACTTTCAGGATTGAATACACCACTTTGAGATCTTTCCTTTTCAGTGGCTGTCCCTCAAGTCTGTAATGTTCTCTCCCCTCACTTCCACCTCCTGGATCCGCAGACCCCAATCTCACCTTTTGCAGCAGGCCTTTTCCAGTTCCCCAGCTGTTAGTAGTTTTCCTCTTTCAGTTTACTTTCCATTTAAATTATATAATAATATAAGGTGATTGCATGTTGTCTCCCTTAATAGAATACAGGCTTCTTATGCAGGGACAGTAATTTCTTTCCTCTTTTCCTATTCCCGGCACTTAACACAGTGCCTGGCACATAGTAGGAGCTTAATAAAGGCTTGTTTATTGATTGACTGTCGCCTAATATAATGGAGAAATAACAACTTGTATTGGAGAAACGGTTCCAAAGAAATTATATAAGACACCTCCCCCAACTCCTTTGCAGAGGTGGGAGATCCAGTAATGTGGAATATGGGATATATTTTTAGATTTTTTTTCGCTATTTTGATCGGTTTTGCCAATTTTTTTTCCTTTGAAAATAATCTTCCTTATATGGGATGGATGTTTGGAAGAAGGGGAGAGATCCGAGGAGAAATTAAGGAGATGTAAATGCATCATATCAATAAAAATGTGTTTTTAAAATAATTCAATTGAGCGGCCTTTCACTCCTAGGAAGGTAGAATTCCGACCTGCTGAACTCCCAGAGACTCCCTCCCTCCCCCTCTCGCCTCTTCTGGCTAAGGCCCAATAAGAGTCTCGCTTTCTGCCCCGCCCCCCTCCCCAGCCTGCCAGATGCGGGCGCTAGGGGGAGAAAGACAGCGCCCTCGCAGGCGCGTCACGCCGGCCTGGCGTGATGACGCAAATGCGACGACGCCGTCTCCAAGGAGCGAAGCCCGTCGCCGGGTTTGAAGTGGCGCGGGGCAGGCGGGCGGGGGCTCTGGCTACGGCCTGATCCTTCTCTGCTGGGGGCCTATCGGTGCCCCGCATCTTCAGTCCTCCCTCTGGGACTCCGGCCTTGTCCCTTCGCCCGCCTAGCTTAGCCCTGCCCAGCCTTGTCGGGAGGGACGTGCGGGCCTGGCCGGGCGGGAGCCGAAGCTCAGAGAACGAGAGGGAGGCCGAGGCGTTGCTCCCCGAGCCTCACCGCTGTGTCATCTTGCTCGCTCGCTCTCTCCTTTTCTTTTCTTTCCTTTTTTCTTTTCCTTTTTTTCCTGAGCAGTCTCAAGTTGCGTTGTCATTGGAAGGGGGGAGAGAGAGGCAGCTAAAAGTGCACCGAAATGGCCACAGAGCTCGACTTTCTGAGAGACCAAAGTAAGCCACCGGGTTCCGGGGTTCGGGTGTCCAGGGGTGTGGCGTCCAGTGTCCAGCGCCGAGCAGGGTCTGGCTTTGGCAGCGTTTGCCCGGTTTCAAAGGGGATCGTGGATTGTCAGAGTTCCGGGGACCCTAAGCACCCTCCTTTTACAGAGAAGGAAACGGAGGCCCAGAGAAAGAGCTGTGACTTGCTCCAGGGTCACACAACTAATAAGTAGCCGTGTGGATTGGAATTGTAGATTCCAAATCTAGTGCCCTTTCCTCTGTATATAGCGCTATGGTGCTATGATTCCTGCATTTAGGTTAATTTTTTTTAATCAATTGGAAGGAACTAAGAACGTGGATTTAGAACTAGAGGCAACTTTAGTGATCTAGTTCATTTTCCCTTTTTTCCAGAGGAAGAAACTGAGGCCTGGGGAAGAACAGTGACTTACGTCGAGTAAATAGCGGAATTGGTATCTCAGTTCTCTTCCTCCAAGTCCAGTGCCCTTTCCACTTCACTAGAGGGCAGTGTGGCTTAGCAGGAGAGCACTGGCCTTGGAAGCAAGACCTGGTTTCAAATCCAGCCACTGACACTAGTTAGCTCTGTGACGTCAACAAGGCATTTTACCTTTCATGTGTAAAGCAGGGATAGTAATTCTGGTAATTCCTACCTCTTTGGGCTGTTGTGATTGATGCTCAAGTGAATAAATGTATGCATACATGCATTCTTTCATTGATTCAAGAAGCATTTGAGTGCTTACTACCCTGTGCTAAGTCCTAAATTAAATAGCCTTTGCCTTCAAGAAACTTACTCTCTATTGCAGTAAAATAATATTTATACACACAATTTGGGGGGGACCAACAGAGAGGATATCTAGTAATGGGGTGGATCAGAAAAGACTTTGCAAGTAAGGCACTGGACTAGGGCAGTGCTTTTGCAGGGCGCTAGGGATTCTAGATGGAAGAGAGGCCTGGGCAAAACATTTTCCAAACTCTAAATTGCTATACAAATGTTATTTATTACACCATGTTGCTGTATTGCATTTAGATTTTTAAAAATCAAATGGAAGAACCTTAGATTATTGATTTAGAGCTAGAATATTTTAGTGATTATCTGTTATATCCTACGACTTTTGCAAAGAAGGAAACTGAGGCCCAAAAAGAGTAAATGACTTAGTACTTGCTATCATGGATATAGTGTTTGAAAGTTGACAAAGTGATTTAAATTCAGGTTTTAATCCAAGTACTATGTTCCATTTGTTATTAAATTGCCAATTAACAGTTATTGACAGTGCCTGCTGGGTTGCATGACATTGAGTTAGCAGAAAAGTGTTTTCATTTATGTATTGAAAAACATTGAATACATTTAAGAGACAACTTGGGACATTTTCCTAGACATGTAAACATCTTTTCTGAGGACCTTTTGCTATTTTGAGGAGAGGAAAGGGCTATGAATAAAGAAGTATTTTTGAGATAGCAGTTATTGCCTGGTTGCAGTAGGAGTAGCTATTTAGCGAGTCACAATTAAGGTATGTTACTGTACTAGAAATGCTTTGTGATATACAAAGAAGTGTGTCTTGTTTACAGTTTATTTGGGGAGATAAGATTCAAATGAACATTATACAATTAACTATTAGATGCATGGCACATATCATAAACTGCTTTTGGAAGTTAGTCGATCAAGAAATCACTGGTTTGATGAGGAAGAGGTTACAAGAGGAAATAGGTCTTGAACTGGATCTTGAAGGATAGGTAGTCTTTAAAAAGTTATTTTTGGGATGCTATGAGCAAAAGATTGGATATTGTATTGTGAGTGTGTAAAAATGAATAAACTTATTGGATGGTATAGAAAGTGTGTGTTGAAAGTAGGAAATAAGGTTAAAAAGATTATATATTTGATCCTGGAGATAACAGGGAGTCACTGGAGTTTGTTAAATAGGGCAGTGATGTGATCAGACCTATGTTTTAGGATGATAATGTTATTGGAAGATGGACTGAAGTGGGAAGAGACTTGAGGCAGAGAGACCAACCAGAAGCAGTGAGTTTCAGGAGAAACCATACTGAATTTGGAGTCAAAGGACCTGGAGTTTAAATTCTGGATCTGCCACTGTCTGCTAGTGGGACCTTGGGTGTCACTTAATCTTACTAGACCTCAGTTTCCTCATCCATAAAGTGTGGGTCTTGGACTAGATGACCTAAATCTATGATTTTATGATCATATGATCCTCTCTTGCATTAGGATAGTTTCAGCAAAAAATAAAGAGAAATATTAAAAAGATATTTTGAAGGGTTATAGGGAGATATTCATCAGAATGAACTATTTTGAAGGTGTGGGCCCTGTTGAGTACTATAGGATTTTGTGTAATAAGAAGCAAGAGAAATAAGGGGATTTTCATTTTGAGATAATGAGTAAAAATATTTATTTATTTTTACATAGCAGTTTCAGGGTGCCTGCAGAGGAAAAAGTGTTATACTCTATGACATGCCCAGATTTTCTCTTTTGAATTTGACAACTAAATCTTTTGTACAATGCCCAAATTTTTAAAATAGTATTTGTTTTTATGGTTGCTCTTTTTAAAAAGCTATTTTATAGCATTCTTTCTATGGTGGGCATTTGAATTGGGCTTTTAAAGGTGGTTAGAAATTTAATAGTTAAGAAGGCTAGGGAGAGAATTACAGCCCTAGGGAATAGTGTAAGCAAAGTACAGGAGGCGGAAGGGCACATGGCATATTAGGAGAAAAAAATCAGTTTTGTTGGAGTTTTGTGATATAAAACTAGAGTGGTAGATTGATGCCAGATTGTTGATTGCTGGTCAGAAGAATTTGAATTTTACTTCATTCATCAAGGACTTATTAAATGCCTACATTGTGCAAGGTATGGTACTGGGTTTTAGAGATACAACCCTTGAGGGACTTTGATTCTGCTAAGTGTAGGTGCAGGATAATATGAACAAAGATAAGTCGACATAAATATAGTCAAAGTAAATTCAAAGTAATTTTTTGTGGTTGTGGGGTAGGACCTCAGTAAAAGGAAAAGATATGAGTGCAAAGCTTTAATTCATAGGTCTTTTTTTTATTTAAAAATTTTGTTGAATGGACCTAGTATATCAGAAATCATAATTTTTTTTTTAATTTGGCCTTATTCTCAATCTTATTTAGAGGTTCAGCTTGATGTCACCTATAAGTTACTACTTTTTACCTGAGAAGCCATACCTATAGATATGAGCAAATCTCTTAACACACATGGAGTCATCTTATAGATGTTTTCAAAGAGAATGGCAAGAGGTCATGAAGAAACTAGTACTTTTAGTGGGCTACTTACAAATGTTTTGGCTGGAGTAGAGGACATGTAAGTGTCTGGCCTTATTTCCCCAAGGGAAGTCAAGACATGGGTGATGAAGTTGACTGTCTGTGGGACAAACAGGAACCAATATTGCTTTGATTTCCCACATCTCCTTGTGCTGCACTGAATGAATGAAGAAGAGCTGGAACTCTTCACCTGGAACTGTTGGAATACATTGTAGAGGAGCTGGCCTTTTTCAAGTGATTTCCTTTATTCAGATGAATATGTTCAAGAAAGCTAGCATATCTTTAAAAGAAAGTGTTCAGCACTTTTAACTTCTTTTTCTTATCTACTAATATTATGTATAGTATATTGTCCTTAGACTGTATGATTGTGGAAACCAGAGGTGTAAATTAGATGTTAAAGAAAAAGAGAAAGTTTGTTCTGAGAGATATTGCACATGAATTCTTCCACTTTTCAAGGTTGAAAAAATACTTATTGTAATTGTGAATTACTCCTAACTTGATCTGATTATATAAATGGACACTTGCTTGACTGTATTTCTTTTATGTCAAAAATAAATATTTTTATTGTATTTTTATTGATTTGTTTTTATATTGCCTTCATTTCCTCTTTTCTCACTACTCTATACCTCTTGGCACTCAGATTTTAAAAAAAGAGAAAAAAGCAGTTCAGCAAAACTGACCAATACAGCAGGTATTGGTTATTTTAGTGATACTGTAGCATTTAGTTTATATTTCAAAAATAAATGTCTTAAATATGTATACAACATATTTGGTGATTACAAAAGGCACTTGACTTGATTTGACTTGAGCAAAATGTAGTTTTAAAATCTCTTAACAAGGAATATCTTTTGTATATGATAAGATCATATAAGATTCCTTTATAAATTTATTTCCAGAGTTAACAGTTTGGTGACATTCTGATTTATGTCAAGTGAGCCATAAAGTATTGAGACACATTTGACCAAGGCATTTTTCAGTCATGGATATCGTCCTTTGCTGAGTCCAAATAGAAGATAGTTTTTATATAGGTGATGAGGACCTTCAGCTGCTCCTGTTTGTTGATGACACTGTTTATAATTGTATGAAGCCTCAGATTATTATAGGGTATCCTTAATGAAATTTGCAGTAACTCAGAGATAGGCATAACAATATAGAGAGAGGAAGAATCATAGATAAACTGTATCTGTTGTCCGGATTATAGAATCCAGTGTGTTGGACGGTCTGTTGAGTTGGTACATTGGTTCGTATATCCTGGACAGGTTCTATAGCTGAGCAGTGACCTGTGCCTAGAATAGAATAGGAAGAAAAGTGGCCTGAATTATATTTGGATAACAGCGCAGTGATTTCAATTCTAAATTGCTTCCTAATGTGTGAGCTATCTATTTTAATACCCCTTCTCTCAGTGATGCTCAATGGTAGTAAATTCTAGAACACCTAGATTACTGCAGAATCAAAGTTGTGAGTGACCCAGAGGAAATGGGGAGACTCATGGAGAGTGCAAGTAGGCTGCAGCTTATATCCAACTCTGAATGACCTGTGCCTGAGAAGTAGTTTAAAGAATATCATCAGGATATGTATCATGAGAGAAATATGGCCAATTTTTTTAAGAGAAGTAGTAGCTAAGTCCCTTACTTGTACTCATCAACTGTAAAAAGACAGGGAAAATCTTCTAGCATGTTTTCTCTGGGTAATTTATTGGAGAATATGGG